CGACATCGTCTGCTATTCCACACCCGTCTATAGTCGTCTGCAACGCCCGTAAGACGCGGCCAGGAAAGCGGCGCGTCAGCGCCCGTTACCGCCTGCGTCGGTCTGCTATTCCGCCCCCGGTCTAAAAGCGTCTGCAACACTCGCAAGACGCCACCATGAAAGCGGCGTTCTAGCGTTCCATCATACACTAGCCACGGTCCAATACAAGCGTCTGTCACCAGGGACTTTTAGCGAACCGTTACCGCGTTCCGCGTACCGCACTACAGGAGTCCTTGAAGCATGCTTTTTAAGCGCGCGCCCGGGTGAGACTGTGAACGCGGGGCGCGAGCTTAAAAGCATTGCTTCAAAGGCTCCGGTAGTGGGGTACGCGGAACACGGTAACGGTTTGCAAAAAATGCCTTGCGTCTGTCGATGCGCGATAAAAGGAGGGACCGAGAGGGCTAAAAAATATCAACAAAACAAATACGCGGTCTTTTCAACTTTCTGCCTTTTTTTTTTTCTTCGAGTGGCATTTTTTTAGGAAGGTGAGTGAGCGTCATGGACGCTTTTTAAACGCGACCTAAAATTATTCGCATTGGTAGACCAAATGCGCTGAAAAACTTGAGAGCTACTCGCCTTTCGAATTAAAATGACGGCAACATACCTGGGCAAACTTGATGCGAGCGGAACGCCCGATTGCTTCCGGCCAAATGGTTCACAAATGCTTACCTGTTTTGGCATCTTCTCGGTATGAAATCCATGGTAGCCATAACAATGCTTGCACATTTCACGGAGCAGCGGGGCCGCTTTCACGTGAACCAACATCTTTATTGAGCATCAACACGCGCAAACGAACCAATCGAGCCAGATCAAGCAGACTAGTTGACGGGGAACGCTAGACTTAGGCGAGTCTCGCAACGAAAACAGGCATCCGCACAGCACTTCCGAAGGCGCGTACTTGCGACAGTTGTTTGATGAAAACTAGGTTGGTTGAAGGGTTAAGCTTCCTCCAAACAACTCGGTGAACGCAGAACGACTCGCACTCATAAAAACAAACGAGCCGGCAGCCATGTCTGTTATCATTGGAAACCGAAGCGGTAAAGGCAGTCTCCCAGTATTTTTGAAAGCAGTAATGAGTTCATCTTAATTATATGTTTCGCAAAAAAAAGAAAAAAAAAAGATATTGTTCATACCAATATTGTTGCGACACGGATAAACAATTTTACATCGAAGAATTCCAGACGTCAATCATCTCTTCATCAAGCGCGGGCCGAGAAACGGTGCTAAGCTTGATAAACACTTTTCGGGATGGGCAGGGCTTAGAGCAGGGCTACTCCCACCTAAATACATCTAACGGTGTAAATATTCGTCGATGTTTCGACTTGTCGTCGAAAGATCTACAAAAAATGTGTCCCATCTAAACTCTTTAAAAATCAGTTGTTATTTTTTTATTTTCCGTGTTTCTTTAAGAAAAAATGATCCGGGTTTTAGTGTAATTAGGTCAGTAAATATTCTTCTGTAAATATCTTATTACTGATCAATTTTAAAGGTACAGTCTTAATTAGAAACTTGAGGCGAATCATTGAAAACTACAAAATCCACCCACATTACAATAATATAAGGTACGCGCCACCAAAAACCGCGACCTAAAAAAAAATCGTTTTGGCCGTGTTTTTAGGTTTAGGTTTGTTATCGCAACGCATCTCCGCGCCAGCAATCCCGCTACCCGTGACCAAAAGGCGCAACATGCGTGTGCCACCACGCATTGCACGTAGACTAGCGTCTTCGCCACCGTTGCCTTCACACTGGCACCGACCGTCAAGAAAGCAAACGTCATGTTGCAGTGCAGATGCTATTTTATCTAGCCTCTTCTGCGGGCGATGCGTGGTGGCCAACGATTGGTGGCGGCTCACGCATGTTGCGCGTTTTTGCCACGGGAAGCAGGATTGCTGGCTCGGAGATGCGCTCCGATAAGAACCCGAAATCTGCAAGCGCGGTCCAAATGGAGCATTCCTTCGGAACGGCGGAGTATGGCGTGCGTGCCTCGTATCGTTGTAATTTGGGAGGATTCATTAATTATCGATCATACGCATTAGTTTCTAATTGAAACCATACCTTTAAGATTAATAGTTAACAACGTAATTACTAAAATGCGTTTCATAACCTAATTATACTGAACGCTAAAGAATTTTTCTTAATGGGCCTTTTGGCAGAGATCACGACGGCATGAACCTTTTTTTGTTACGTGCGACGCATATTTCTCTCAGGAACGACTTGGCTGACGTTTCGAGAAACACCATGTAAATTACACATGATGGAAACAGGCGACTAGTTAAGAAAACAAAGTATCGTAAAAATTACTTTTTTTTTTCCTTATTGCATGGGACCTTCATTGTCGATGTAAGCGATGTCTCTATTTCGAGTCATGAGCCTACTGCCTAGGGTGACCAGACGTCCCGTTTTGGCCGGGACAGTCCCGTTTTTAAGGTCCATTTCGGCCGTCCGTCTTTTTGTCCCAATAAGGAATCATGTCCCGTTTTTGCAAAAGTGCACAATTTCGAAATTGCCACAAATCGAGTTGAAGGAAGCGGAAACTATGCAGCTAAACCAACTTGTTACAAATATATTTTACAAAAAAGAATAAAAGATAAACGTAGGTATTTTAAATTATCTACCCAGTAAAATTGAGAGAACTGTTCTTGCCTACAAACACGTTTTTTTGTCAAGACTCTTGAACAGAAATATTTTTTTTTAGTTACTGAATACAGCACGCATGTAGTACGTTAACGCTTTGAAATAGCAGTTCTTGCATTTAATTTTTTCTCCCAATCTCTATCTTTAGGATTCCCCCCCCCCCTCCGTCCCTCTCTCCCCCCCCCCCCCGCCCCCCCTCCGGGCTGGGATGTCCCGTTTTCAACCTTGAGGAAAATGCCCCCCCCCCCCCCCTCCCTCTCCCCCCCATTTCCGGGCTGGGATGTCCCCTTTTCAACCTTGAGGAATACGGTCATCCTACTACTGCCCTTACCGAGAGGTTTCATGAGAGACTAAAAACGTTGTGTTTTTCCTCGGAAGCTTACGTGTACTTTTCCGTGTCGAGTCACAGGTTTACCAATATACAGCACGGACACTTCCTTTATGAGCGCGAAGAAGCGCATTTTCAAAGATGTGTATGCGCTGACGCGCTGGGTGTTTAAGACGCCCAGCCCAAAGCACGATCAGGAAGCTTTTTTTTATTACACTTTGTTTTTATTGTGCGACCAAGGGTAAAGCCTAACTTAAAATAGAACCGGACGCATTTACTCCGCCGCTTAAGGTGAGGCACGATGAAAACACGCTTTGTAATCTAGGTGCTGTCATTAAAGGTGCCCCGAGGAGGCTTTTGAGATGGCCTAAACCTGGTAAAAACTCATTCTGTTGGCTCTAAGCGTCCTAGAAATCTCTAAATCACGACGATACGCGCTTGATTTCTCTATTAAGAAAAGCAATCAAAGATTGCAACACACCAACGTCATGTACGGCGATGGGAGGAGCTTGTTCCGAAACCAGGACCACTCTCAGCCAATAGCAATCGAGGGATCCTCGCGCCCCCAACCGGTGGAACCGGGGAGTGATGTCTCAAATGCTCGCGGCTCGTTGCCCATACAGTCCGGACAACAATTAAACTCAGCGAGCACGCGCTCGAAAGCTGCCGACCGGACACATCACTCCAGCGAAAACTACAACAATTAATTGCGCAACAGTCACTAGCGAGGAGCATTCAGCTTCGTTCGATTGGACATTAATGCTTTCGCATTCACAACTCATAAGAAGTGCTTAGGTGTGCTCGGAATTTTTACATTTGTTCTTACTGAAATATGGGTCAATGATATTTAAAAAAAAAAAGAAACTTTCAGTATAAAAGTGTTGCCCCATGTTATTTTTATTGGAATGTTTAGTAAATATAAAGAGATATTAACTTGCAATGTAAATTTTCGGAAATGTCCATTCTAATATAACTACAGCGTGTTGTCGATGGGTCCCTTTGAATTTTGAAAGTGCCCCCCCCCCCCAAAAAAAAACAAAAACAAAAAAAAAAACACGCATACAACTATTTTTCTTTTCGACACGTTTTGATTGGCTGGTCACCTTCCAAAATAAGCCATTTTTTCCGCTTACCTACATTTTCTCCCGTTAATCTCGACTGAATAAAAGGAAACAATATTCACCAGTTTCTAAATATAAAAAAGTAACTTTCCCCGTCATTGACCTTTACCAAAGCGAAAGTTTCCCCTTTCTTAGTTAGAAATAAAGAAAAAATAAACACGCTGTGCTTTTTCGCGTTCTGGCACGCGTCGGGAGCACGCACTCTTCGCTTTTCTGACGCCAGAAGAAAACGGCCTTGACAGAAAAAAACGGCAACAAACCGCGGCTGCCTCCGAAAGCGATATATGCACACCCTATCATGTGGAACTTTTAACGACCAGAATGGGGGAACAGTTAGGTAATACTCGGTTAGCTCCACGTTCAGACTATTGACAACAAAAGTAACAATGATTCATGAAGGCGCAACTTCTGTTAAGCCACTTACACATTATCCGGAGGCGGCGTAAACATGGAAGAAACGATGGGAATAATTACCCAACCAGATTCCTTCTCTCTATCGGCGGCTCGTGCGACTAATGGCACAGGCCCCCGACGTAAGCCAACAAAATACGGGACATTTTATTCAACGACGACAAAATCAGACGCAGGCTCCGCCGTTCACATCGCTTGGAAACGACGGCTGTTTCCCTCTCTCAGGGTGGGTTGTTACCAGGTGGCTATCAGGCGTTGAAGAGCGCCAGCAAAGTTCTTAAATTGTTCGAAGCAGGTCTCATTTATCAGAACCGCTGAGAACGCCGATGATATGACTAGGAGTTGTAGGACATACACAGTTGGCATTTAAGTGAATGCGAACAGCATCTCGCTTATACATTTAATCAAATCGTGTCTAGATTTTCTTGCTGTCATTGCCCATACCCCCTCCCCCCTTTCCTAGTGCGATGCATCCGTTGGGACCATACGAAGTCGGCGAACTGCGGAGCATGGCAACATCTGTGATTTTGTGGACGGGGTGCCTGGCATTATTGATCCACCTACTGCCGAAACTGTTTAATTGGTTCCGAATCTACTGGCACCTTCGGAAGCTTCCGTCACCAAGTGAACGGTTTCCTTTTTCGTTCGTGTTAGACATGAGGAATGAAATGGCAGCGATGGAGCCCGGGCTGACGATACCTACAAGTAGGTGACGTTTTGGTGTTGACTGCATTTGTATGAATGTATGAGGATAGGGTGTTGTTGTTTTGCTTCAGTGTGACACTTCGGATCCCTAAAACGTTCGCCAATTTCCCTACTAAGCTAAGATCCATTTATTTAAGGTGCGTTACATTGACAATTTTTTTTTTCGGCGCGTAAAATGTGACATTATTGTAGCTTAATTTGCGGTTAAATTTCATCCCTGTACAAGGAAATGTAAGCAATATTTCGAAATTGCCACATCTGAGGAAAAACATTCGCTCAGACCACGGTCCAGACATCTTGCGTCTCGTGATTTACTTGAACGATAGCCTTTGTCTTCATTCATGCGCATCTTTTAGTAGGCATAGTCGTTTACTAGAATTAATCTGCAAAAATGTATGGTATATTGGTTTCTAGAACACAAAAAAAAGTTGTTTCAAATAAAAATATAAATAATAAAACTAGGACAGTAAAAAAAAAAAAAAAGAGCCGAATGACTTTCCTTTAATAGCAAATATTTTTCTTATTAATGTTAGGTTATATTCTGAAGTCCTGATAGGTATACGTTGGCTTCTATTACTTTATTTTAATTTGTATTCTAAGTTACTACACGTAATTTTAGTGCTATTCTCACTCATGTTCATATATTTGAAAATGTGTTTGAAGGCTCAGATGGCTGTTTTGCATTGCATTATTGCGTTTTCATGGATGTCAGTGTGTACGCCTCTTGAGCTTCGTGAATAATGCGGCGGACCAAAGTTTTGGCTTCTATCCTTTGCGAATAAAGTAAAACAGAACTAAATATATATAGTTTTTAGATTTCCTGAATAGGATACTGTTCTGTGTGACGCAACGGGCGCGGGGATTGAGCGCGCACGGGCACGAACAGAGCTTACGGGATTTCTTGACTGACATCGAACGACGAGCAAACTGCCGCACAGGCTCTGTTTCGATCTTTTAAATAAAGTATTTTATAACTGGCGACGAGTGAGACGACGGACCTGCTGCATCCGGCAACATGGCTACCCACGGATTCATGGAGGAATTTTCCGGGAAGGGCTGGTCGTCGTGGTTTAGGGCTACGGTTGTATTTTGAAGCCAACGGCACTGGAGGCAACGCCAAGAAGCGTTCGGTTTTGCTAAGGTTGTGTGGTCAAACCGGCTCATTGATTGTAATTAACAAATTTCACCACCGACCTCACTACATTTTATTTTAAATTATTTTCAAACATTAAAAAATAAAGCAGCAACATGTAACATGCTTCCCCGTATTCTGGAATTTTTAAGATCAATTTTGGGAAAGGAGCTCTCGTGCGAAGTGTCATACGCCAACCATTCATACTGTCACAAATGACGAGTGTACTAAACGCTTTATCTGGGAACTTGTGCCGACAGTGAAAGTGAAATATGCGTTGATATGTCAGCGTAGAAGAAGGACAGAGCGCTGGGCCGAGACCGACAGCATTCGGTGCGGCAGGCACAGTAGTCTCTGCAGCTTTCATGAACATACTGAATCAAAGCACTCTCGTTCGGCGCTAAAAGATTGGACTACTTTCTAAGATCGAACGTGGAGGAGCTACCGTTCTGTAGAATGCAAAGAACGAACAAAGCGATACACAAGTCTTTTTTGTTTGTAGGCTCTTTTCTGAGACATGCAGAACGGGCATTGCGTTAAGGTTGTGTTCTATCAACAACAGAAGGTAACGTCGTCACCATACCCGACGCGCCAACGAATTAAGATTTTGGAAAAAAAAAAAATCAAATATATTTCACAGATTTGCAGGGGAGGCTTTCCTGTATCTGTCAAAAGGCTGGAAAGCTCTGCATCCGATAAATATGCGCTGAGCTTTCCTTCGATTACTTTTTTTACTGATAGTTTTTTAGCGCTTTCTTCAACACGGTAATCAACGTTACAATACTATTTAAAATTATGTGAGGGACGTCTAAATAGCCACCAAATAGATCAGAGCCCAAATTCCTGTCAAGAATAGATTGAATGTATCAAAAAGTGAACTATTTATAGTATATAGGAGAGGCGCACCGCAGCACCGCGAAGAAATCTTAGACTGGCTGTTTCATCCAACTGCAGACATTCCCGGTACCTATATGCCCCACCCCACTTCCCTGCCAGCTTTTCTCTCCAATGTCAGTAAACAATCGGTTAGAAAGAGTCGTACCCGTTTTGTTTTTTTATATGTTATTAAAGGCATATTCAATCAATCAGAAATCACCAATGCTTCAGTCCGATGAGTCGCACAATTTTGTTCTGTACGCCTGTGGAGCCGCGCGTACATCACACATTTTGCTTGTTCGCTCAACTGAGGTGCGCTCTCGTGTCGCACGCTCAACTGGTCGTGCGCTCTCGTGCCATGCGCTCTAGTGTAGAGCTCGCTACTGTCGCAGCGCCCCCATGTCGGGCGCTCTAACGTCGGCGCTCTAGTATCGCACGCTCCAAAGGCGTTCTCCCGGCCAAACCACGTTTGAAACACTGAAAGGTGGCACGACGCCCAGTGAGTTTTCTTTCGAGGAGCTCGGTCACGATGCTCCAAGTCCACTTCAATCCGCGTTCGTCGGAACTGTTCAGCCGGTGCTAATTTCAACGTATAGATCTATCTTCGGGCGAGACCGTGACGGACCTTGTTGCAGCCCAGAAGAAGCTTCCAGAAGATTGCAATTTTTGAACGGTAACGCCTGCTGCGGCAAGCACCCCTGGGACTGGTCTGCCAAGGGTCTGCTGTAAACACTGGTGGTGGTTCATTTCCCACCTCGATCAACTCAACGATGCTCCTTATGGACGTCGTGCTTCGCGATCATTTTGTCTGCGGTGGCAGCAGAGAACGCCGATGACCATCAGCGGAAAATCAAGGAAGACTTCCAGGAAATACAGTGCAGATAATTTGTGTCCGACGCATCGAGGGCAGGAGGAGGCCACAGCAATATCAGCAACTCCCTGCTGCCTGCTGCTGACACTGTGAAGAGTTTTACAGCCCGAGCTCATGCGCGGTCCGCACGTTGCACTGTAGGTACTGAGTGTTCGCGTTACCGAAAAAAGTAACGAAGTAAGTTACTCGTTACTTGTAAAATAAAAAAAAAAATGACCGTATCTCCACGTGGTGAATCATGTTAATTGAGGCGAAGCTCTGGTGGTGCCGATGATACTGATATTGTTCATAGGTAATGCTGATGGTGCTTCCGCTCTTAACTCCGGGTCCGCTTGGGGTTTTTGGCGCTTTGCAGCAGCTTCTCGCGCCCTGGTCTCAGGAGCGGCTTGCTGTCTGCGTAGACGCTGAGCCGCAGCGTGCCGAGCTTTTCGTTCGTTTTCATCCATGTCAGAAAGAGAATGCGTGGTATGGAACGTGGTTATTTATCTACGCATTTGAGCATTTGACCTCAGCGCCCTCTCGACTATAAACGTTGAGCCAATGCATGCAAAGTTTAACGTGATTATATACGCATTTGACCGCAGCGTCCTCTCCTGTATACACGTTGAGCGGCTACATGCAACGTTTCATCCATGACAGAAACCCCACCAGCTCTTGAGTTACTACCACATCTCAGAGTCCCCTACTGGTCCCGCAGTCGTGGCCGAGTGGTTAAGGCGATGGACTAGAAATTCATTGGGGTCTCCCCGCACAGGTTCGAATCCTGTCGACTGCGCAAACATGTTTCTTTTTTTTTTTTTTTTTAAGAAGACAGACGGGATGAAAATCGATGTGAGCACGGACGCCGGACAAGGCTAGTTACCACGTATCAGGTTGGAGGGATGTTGTGTATCACGCCACGGGCACGTGGACTGTGCGTGCACAGGCACGAACAGAGCGTTCGGGGACTGCATTCTTGACTGCCATCGAACGAGCATCCCGCCCCACGAGCTCCATCTTGACCTAATATATGTAGTATTCACCCGATACGTATGTAATAAACTCAACTTTAAAAAGGTGGCACAGAATGTAGCTTGTGAAACTCATTTTTAGTTAGGACCGATTATAAAACATATACATCTGTACCGTAATCTCGGGTTCATTCAATATGATGAGTACTGTGGTAATGTTTTTAGGAAAGTTTATTTTGTGACATCCTAATCAGTTATTGAAAATACGTTTGATTAGTTAGAAATCATTTTAAGCAGAATACAATTTTATTAATCGGCACATATTGCTGAAAAGTAAGAGAGCATCAGAAAATCAGGATTCAATATTTTGTAAAACCAACATGTGACCTGGCCATGTTTTTTTTAATGACGTTAATTGCACAATCTAGTTTTTTCATTTACTCACATTAATAAGTAATCGAGAGTATACAAAACCTGATTAGATGGCTAGCAGACGCAGGCAAACGCCAATCGATCCAAGTAGCATTATAGATCGTATCTAATATAAAACAGCAATTACCCAAAATTTGGTGTAGGAAGATGTGATGATACCGTAGCGTGGCTACCGCCATTTCTGTGCTGAGGCCTTGTGTAACAAAAGCACTCACAAAACGTACGCGTAATTGCTCGTGTCACATCTCTTCACATGGAGGCGTCTCAAAGAATCGTTAACCCTGAAGGCGGTACGATTAGGCACTCCCATTCAGTTTTTGGCGCTGCTCCCGGTCAATTTTGTTTTCGTAAATATTTCTTTTTGTTTGTTCAGCGATTGATTGGCCTTATCTTTTTAACATCAAGCGTGACTCCACTGCGAAGATAACCTCCAAACCAATGCGTTAAACCCAAAACGAAGGCGCTACTTTTAGTATTGATTATAATCTTCCATTTCTGCCACCGGGAAGCGAAAGGCTAACATCATGGTAAACCTTTTTTTCTTTCTTTTTTTTCTGCTTGTTTGAAGGTAAGCGAGTGTTTTGGGTTCTCAGAAACACGCCGAAGGGCTTCAGCGCGGACGTAGCTCAGTAAACGCGTTTGAGGAAGCGTCTGGGTCCGAGAACACCTTGCTTTCTTGATTCTTTTTTATTACATTATCCAGGCCTCCCCGTCAGGTCCACTATTTAAACTAACAAGCTTGTTTGTCGAGGGCTTGCTTCTGAACATGTAGTATCGACCAGCACCCCTGTCTCTAACATTACTCCAACTGGAGCAAATAATTACAGTGTAGAAGGAGTGACATATCAGGGGGAAAGGGGGGGGGGGCGATAAGACATTGCAGACATTTCTGGTAAAAAATTTGGGAAAACGGGTGAGAAATCTTGTCAGGCGTATACCTGCAATTGTATGCAACTAAACACATGACATCTCGTCAGAGTTCATGATAAAGGCCTATAATTTAATGAACGAGCAAACGAGCGTCTAAAACAGAGATGCGTGTTTAAGTAGTACGAAGTTTTAAATACTCACATGATGCAGACTTCGGACAAAAGAACTGCAGACTGAAAACGAATGCGTCATTGAATGGAATCCAAATATTTCCCAAATTGTAAAACCAGAATTACAAACCCACGGAATCAGAGAGCTTTTTAAGTGTCTTTTAATAAGCCCGCTGCAGCTTTCGAGACTGGTAACCAATGCCAGCTCCTTTGCCTTATTACTCCTATTTTAAGGTCGCATAGCGCGGCGTCATGAGCTACGATATGCTGTTTAAAAGGGCATCACCCCGGGAAGCTGCACGCCCTGCTGATTGAGTGAATCGAAGGCTAATAAGCGTTTGATAGAAACTGTGACCCATTTTTGCTCAAATGATTTATTACTCTAGCTTTACTTCCTAATCTTCTGTCGCTCAGCTTACTGATATAACCTTGAAACAGTTAGATGTGAGGGATTTAGATAATTTTTATCTCTTTGAGACGGAATGACCGCTGGGTAATTGTGTTCGCGGCTTATGAATTCCTTTCCCCTTGTTGAACGCCTAATGAAAACGTTTTCAAACGAAAGTGTTGATTTATCACAAGTATAAGCGCATCGTTATGCTGGCAACGATAGAAATATCATTTGTTGCCTGAGCATACATCAGCATAATACGTTTGTTTATTCTTTTCAGAGATGTACCAGTACTTTAAAAAGAAATTCTATGATTATATCGAATTCGACATAATGGTTTGTTTCTTTGGACCACAGCCATTTGTGATCCCATGCTCTCCTGACGCAATACAGGTAAGATCACGTTAGTCAATTTCAACGATTAAGTTCTAAATAATGCTTGCTATTTGAAGTTCATTAATAAAGGAAAATAGCGGTGGAATCTAGAACAGTCAATACATTTAGACATTCATTGACCTTGATGATCTAACATTCCGAATTTAGGAGACAGAACTGTTTCCATAATACGTTTGGCGAAAAATGATTTCTTTATTGATGCATTCTTCTTTGCAGCCATTCTTGTCGCACAAAGAAAACTTAAACAAGTCTTTTCTCTACGACATGATGAGACCGTGGTTAGGAAATGGGCTCTTGACGAGGTTAGTCTATACCCTTATTACTGGTTTAAGTGAACTTCGATAATCAAATATTGTGCTCTATATTCAACGTAATATTGTACATTCGAAAATAAGAAAACAAGCAAGTTAACTACCTAATCGAATTTAACGTGTTTCTTTAAAAAAATATTTATTATAAACGCTATCTTTTTTTGAATTTACACTTTGGAGATGGTTTGATGAAACTACGCTTATTTAACTGGACGGTCAGTAAAAGACAACAGCATCACAGATGCGCTAAGGTGAATGCTTATACCTTTGTAAACATGGAACGCTTTTCACGGAACTCCATATTTCAGAAGTTTGTCTGTCCGTTCGTTTGTCTATTTTCTCGCTAAATTTAGCGAAGAAATTGTAGTCACATGACGTCATGGTACCATGTAACACCAGGACGACACCGTGACGTCACTTCACATCCTGTGGGGCGAAATCACATGACGTGAATTTTCACGCTGTCTTTAATTGAGAAATGGACTGCCCACGCCGCATGACGCCATACCACGTGACGCAGTTTGCCGCTACATTTAGCGTAAAGATTTACGTGACGTGACCTGACGTCACGTGACATTAGGACATCGTGACGCTACATCACGTGACCTGAATTCAATTTCTCAAGTCTTGGTTTTCGTGGGACCTCAGGTGAAGTGACGTTAATTTTGTCGCTAAAGGTAGCGAGGAATGTAGTCAACAACTATGTGTATTTCATTTTCCCGAAATGGGGGACTGTTTAATGTCTTTCAAACATATTTATATTATCGCATTTTGTGAGTTATGGTACTCTGGAGATAATGGTGGATGGAAATGTTTTTTTTTTTATTATTTGCCTTTTAAAAAATCAAAACAGCGAGAAAAGTACATGGAAAGTGAGGAGGAAGCTGCTTAACCCAGCATTTCATTCTCGAGTGGTCGTCGACTACACGCCGACCATGAACAGACACGCTGCAGAAATGGTCGCAAAGCTGGAGTCGCTCGAAGACAAGAACGTGGACATATTGCCCGTCATGCGACGCACTGCGTTCGTCATACTTTTTGGTAAGTGAAGCCAATGGCAGTTGTCTCGATTAATGAGTAACCAAATTATTATATTATTCATACTGGAAAACTGGCTATTACGCACTTGGCGAGATCTCGCAGCAGATTTCGTGTGTGTTTCGTGTAAATGCTCCGCTAAATTTAGCGATAAACTTTGTCCGCCATATGTAGCGGGAACCTCGGTGTCGTAACATTGTGACACCAGAGCGTCACGTTGAGTCATGTAACATGGTGTCAGCAATTTTCCACTATTTAAGCGGAATTATTTCTCCGATCAATTCGGTGGGAAATTTCTTGGCTAAAATTAGCTGCAATTCACTGTCACGTGGTGTCAAATGTCAGGCGTTATAAAAAATATACTTCGTCATTTTGTGGAAGACATAGTCGCAGTATTGTTAACCTAAGATAAGAGTCCCAACTCATCATTTTGAAGGAGCAATTTATCGGCACTGAACATTGAGGACAATGTGATAAATGCCTACGGCACGTCTTAAAAGGTACGTATGAACAGTATGGATTAGGGATTCGAAGCACTATGCGTGCACATCTACGGTGTTAATAAATGACGTGTGGATGTTGATGCAGTAAATGTAATCGTCGCAATCTCAGGTTTCTTGAGGAAATTAAAAATGTCTATGGCAATTACGGGACGCAGAAACAGCAATGGGAATTTACCTGAACGAGGAGGAAATCGCAAAGCACGGATTTTTGGAGGTCAATGACAAGTAAGTGTTTGTCATTTTATGCTTTTGCAATGAAAAACTAGGACGTAGTTACAATCCGCTGGCTCACCCTTTTGGAAACATTTTGATTACTTGACTCCCACAACAACTTACTCTTTAGTTATTCAGCAATTTGTTTTATCAGCTTATTTATAATCGAATGTTAGAGAGAAACTAGAGCTTTTTTAAACGGAAAAACAACATACTCACTAGCATACGCTTTGCCTCCGCCAAATGTAGCACTAGGGGTTTAAGCAAGACGCCATAGGTTCGGAACTTATCGGTATCTTATTAAATTATATAAGCAATTTTCAGAGTTTGTTAATGAGAAAATGGTGACCAACGGAGTCCGCGAATACATGGAAATGGATGGCGAACGCTGCCAAAAATTATTATATGATTGATTTTTTTCTAGATCGCTGGTAACTCTTGTTATTGAATTAAAAGGGTTAGTTCTGAAGCTTTGGTACCTGAACCGCACCACTAGCCCTTCATTTGGACAGACTAAGCGTTCGACGATCCCTAGATTATTTTTCCGATAAAAAATAACTATACTCTTTCTTCACGACCACCCAGTACATTGGAAACCGTTGGGGAGGGGGTGACTAATAAGTTATTGTCATAAGCGTAAACGAATGGTATGTGATCCAGGAAAAAATATTGCTATAACCGTCAACCCTCGTGAAATTTTAACTCCACTCACAAAGCAAGTGAAACTGGGGCTTGTCAAGTAGATAAAATACTGGATAGCAGCCAATGATAGCAGCTCGTGTCGATGGCGTGAACACAAAGGATATGGCACTCCTATGGTATGTGAGAGAGTTGTATTAAATTACCACCTCAATCAGGTTTCAGATGTGTGTAATAGCAGAATTATTTAATTAAAAGCTAAATTGTAAGCACAGGCCTGAAAAATAAATACTGGTATACTATGGAATGGTTGATAACCAGTCTTGTACACGTTACTAAAAAAATTAAAGCCCTTTACAATTCCCTGTAACGCCGGTTAGAGCGCAGCTCTTGAGGAGGAAGATGGTAGCGTACTGAGGTGTAGGTGACTCCTTGAGGTCACGTGACCTGAAGGGGTCACATGACCTTAGGGGGTCACGTGACCCCAGAAGTCACGTGACTTCAGGGGGTCACGTGACCTCAGGGGGTCACGTGACTTCTGGGGGTCACGTGACCTCAGGGGGTCACGGACCTAAGGGGTCACGTGACCTAGGGGTGTCACGTGACCTGGGTGGGTCACGTGACCTCGGGGGGGGTCACGTGACCTCGGGGGGGTCACGTGACCTCGCGGTTACGCCGACGCCGACGGCGACGCCGACGCCGCTCAAGCCGGAAACGGGCCCCTAAGAGCTGCGTTCTAAAAAAAGCTGACTTGGACGTAGTTCAACTACTCTACTCAAATTACTGTAGTTTAACTACTTTTTTGAGTAACTTGGTAACTTTCAATTACAATTTGATTTGGGTAATTAGTAGTTTAATTCAACTACTTTTTTCAGGTAACTTCTACTCAAATTACTAACTACTTTCGAAATTATATAGTGCTAATTTTGCCCATCACGAAAGTTTGAGCGCAGAACTGAATAAGACGCCGGCAGATGAAGAGGCATTCCCTAACATGGGGCCTCCTTGTTCGGGAAGGCGTCCTTGGGTCAAGGTGGCGACGAGCAGCCAAAACATAACACCGGCACGCACGAATGCAGGAAGAGATGCTTAACAAGCCTTGGTCAGGTATTGACCTAATCCGGTAATGCACGCAGGCGCCGCGTTTCCAGCTGCAACCGTGAAAGACGGGGACACTCCGAGAGTTGTTGTCTGTCTTTAGAGAGTTCTGACTCCAGCGGTAGGTTCCACGGGAGGCGCCATTGGAATGACCTCGCAGCTGGGCGCCTGCTCCCATGGTCGCCTTGTCGTCAGCGCATACGCCTTTGCAAAGCCGGACTCCCCCGCGCACTATCCCTGGCACGGATAATCCGTTCATGGAAGCACGTTGCCGCTTCCAGCTGCAACTTTATACGAGCGTCAATGCTTGTTCACGTAATCCCTCGTGTCCTTCCGACCATCCACGCCAGGGAGACCTCCTTTTTGTTAAAAACGATATACTTGTCAGGCGTGTCAGGCGCGTCAGAATATTGTAGTCGCCGGCGAGGATTGCGAGTTACCCTTGGGAGATCCTTTTGTTGGACCCGGCGTCAGCGGCGAAGTATACTTCGGTTCATCTTCTGTTAGACCAAAACTAGGGAGCCTTCATGTGCGCTTTGCTTTGCGAAGCGCACATGAAGGCACCCTAACCAAAACATTTCTTTTTTCAGTCGCGTAGCACTAGCACTACAACGGGACGCGCAGTCGTCCGGATGATCTCATTGTCGTGGCGTGAGACTTGAACCCTTGACGGTCTGGTGCACTCGCTCAGCGTACTCTCAGAACGACGTCGGAAGGAAGGGGGGCCAGTCATAACAACCTCAACTTGACGAAGAAAAAAGAAAAAAGTAGGAAAGATTGTTATAAAAGACTCTCTATCCGAGGCAAACCTCACATGTTTCGTCATGGACACCTAAGATGCCGACACTCGCTTACTCGACCCTGCACAGCCTGTTTCTCAAATTCAACGCTGCCGTTCCATTCAGTGCCACGGTGGAACGTCTATTTAGCTTTGCTGGGGACGTCTTTAAAAGCAAAAAGGCGAGAACTCTCCTATCAAGAACTTTGAAAGTCAATTGCTTCTGCGACCGAATGAACTATTTTGGCGAAAACGCAAGCTATAAATAGACTGCATTTATTTTAGGCTCGCAGAATTTTTCATTGATCAAAACTGCTGTTCATTTTGCTACCACAAAAATATAAAAAAGTAACTTCGAAAGTAACTTGAAAGTAACTCGCTACTTTTTAGAGTAGTTAGTAGTTTACTCAATTACTATTACAAATGCGTAATTTCTACTCTACTCCAATTACTTTTGGCGTCGATACTCAGTAACTTAACTACCTTTTTTGAGTAATTTGTACATGTCTGAAAAAAAGTAATCGATTACAATTACTATTACTTTTGGCTAAAAAGTATTCGATTAGATTACTTGATTTCTCGACGGCAAAAGTAATTCGACATTACTTAGAGAAATAATCGTTACTTTTCCAATTACTTTATTGTGTGAAGACACACCTTTAGCGCTCGTAACAATGAACAACTTCCAACCTATATTTCACATTTGCACAAGTATTGAAGAAAAACTGGCTCCCTCTTCGTGGTTGTTGCACCTTCACAATACGGACATAAGCATAGAATTCGTTTGAAGACGTTTAATGATTTGGGCGTTCGCCAGTGTGTGTGTGTGGGGGGGGGGGGGGGGGGGAGCGGAGGAGGTTCTAGATCTTGTTAAGCTTGAGCAAGGGTTGTCGCTCAAAGTTTGCGTCGCTCATTTTATTATTCACATGTGGATGAGCTCGCATGTTATACAAAAGAGCAGCAGCTCCAGGATTTGAAACGGATCATGTGTAGTATCCATTAGCGGAAGAGATCGCCCCGACCACTTCTCAACTCGAAACCTTGCTTGTCACAAAGACCACGTAGGGGAAATGGGGAAATATTTCAACTGCCTTTGTTATATTTTGCATCCGCTTTAGGCATTCTTCGGTTCTGGTTCTCCTATGGGCTGCGAGTAGGTACCCTAAGCAGGATTGTTTTATTTTTTATTTACGTGTATGTGTGCGTGAGGGGGCTAGTTTGAACAAAGGACTCACAAAGCTACATTCTGTTTCCTCAAACTTCGCCCTGAATGGCCATTGTCACGCACTGTGGCTTCCCTGGGGCATCCCACTCCCAATGACAGCTCGAAAAAAAAAAAAAAAGATGGGACATTTCACAGAAACTGTACATAGAAAGAGATTGACCTCGTTTCCTACAGCTCCGCATAATCTTTCTTTTTTCCGTTGGTTACAAGTAATTTTATTACTTCAAAAAGTAATCAGATTACTCTTGGGATTACTGCTTAATAAAAGTAATCAACTGATTACAAAATTACTCCAAAAAGTAATCGATTACAAGTAATTTGATTACTTGTAATGCGTACGGTACGAGTCTGTTGATAACACCCTGGTCCCTCGCGTAATTATAAATATTATAGTACTATAGAGCGCAGACTCTGACAGTCCATAAAATGCAAATGTAGGAGTATGTTCATACATAACCCCGATTGTCTTTTTGCAACTGCATGTCTTTTGATCACAAGGTATAATTAGTTCTTTTTTTTTTTATTTCGGCGGATTACTAAAGCTGCTCAATAAAAGATAAGGCCTTGCAGTAAACCAATTTTTTGTTTTATTTGAAGCATAGGAACATAAAATTAGTCTCATTCGTTTCTAATTTTACGGGCTTCTCCCACCTATACTTTTCGCAGAAATAAAAAAAACAGAGAGAGGTGTACTTATACGTTGGTTACAGACATGTTCTAACTCCTGTATTTTTAAATTATCAAGCTTTTTGTACTAGCAGTTAACTTCTGGGGAACTTGTATATTTTTTAACTCCTGCAGAAGTAGTCGTATGCTACCTCTTTTTTTTTTTACAAATCCTACACAATGAACATAACACAAATAGAAATAATGGTGATAAAAATAACCCGATTGAATGTTTAAGAGGTGTTCATAACAAAATGGTTTCTTATTGATTTTATATTTTGTATCGCAGAATGGCTGCCAGCATTGTTTCAAGAATGATCAACCCCCTTGAGTGGCCATCTTTGATTTATACTTTTAGTGCAGAAGGAAAGGCGTTTTATAAGAACGTTGACTTTGTGAAGCAATACACAAGAAATGCAAGTATTTTCATCCCATTCATATTCAGTATTGTTTAAATTGTTTCCATTATTATGACCAAATCATAAAATGCGATGCATGAATACTAAGACTCATTCACTCACACGCTATAATGTGCCAGCCAGTCATCTAAGCCTGTCTTGTCGAGGTTATAGCTAAAGGTCAAGCCAATATTAACTACAGCCACGCTATTCTGTAATGCGCACCGTAACCGAGACACGGTTTAACGTGATTGTTTTTCCGGCGGATATTCCATGCAAACAGTGCATAAAACGAAGAGCAGTATATCGATTTGATAGTATACTATTTTCCGGTATTCTTTAACCATCCTTGTTTGTTCGGTACATCCTTCTCGGGAGTAATCTCTATTAGTGTACCTATTTGATCGATATGTGATGTATGTTCATGTGCTTTTTAAGGTCATAAAGACTAGAAAACAAACTTACAAGGCTGGCTTGGAGGATAATTTCAAAAGGAGCAGCTTCATGGACATTATCCTGAGGATGCATATCGAGGAAGGGATGTTCACAGAAGACGAGATCAGAGAAGAAGTCAACACATTTATGATTGGGGTAAGGCACCTTGTCGATAAAGCGGACTTCTATTTTAACAAACACCTGATAAATATTTCGATCCCAAGCGATCTTTTTTATCTTCATTTGTAGTGATTATAACACTAATACATGGTTCTGAAATTTTAATAATTTTGAAAAATATTTTATTTTTACTGATAGTTTGCTTTCCAATAAACTATGCAGAGATCTTACGGTAACGCAAATCGCTTCAACATAACTTCTCACTGTGCGAACGTATCCAGTCGATCTCCTTTGTTCATTTGTACACTTAAATCAATGATTTCGGCACAGTGTGTTTGTCATACATGTGGAAAACGATGAGTTTTTTGCACCCACCATTTTGTTCTAGGCTTAACGCTTATCTCGGACTGTAATTGAGGTTTTCTAAGAATGGTGATTTATCGCGCGATTCAGTATCACAGCTTCTAGACATGTTCGGACATGAAATATTTATTTTCTTTTTGACTCAAAGATCTAAATATATTTTGGAACACCTACAGGGCTTCGACACCACTGCTAAAGCTGCAGCATTCGCCGTTCACCTGCTCGGGAACCATCCGGAAGTCCAGGCCAAGGTTCACAAAGAGCTGGACATTGTTTTTGGGAGCGACAGGGAAAGGCCGGTCACGGACGAGGACATGAAGCAGCTTACGTATTTGGAGTGTGTCATAAAGGTATCCAAAGTTTGCATATAAAAATGAAGTTTCAAAGAAATCCCAGATTGGAAATTGGTCGGTCATAAATAAGTTCAGACGCTAAACATCGAGACATGAAATGGAAGTCCGACTGTGAACGTTATGATCTTGAAGACATAGTAATGTCTTTTTTGTGGCCACCTGTTACTTTTTACACAAGTATTGTTGAACCAACAGTTGGTTCAAAAGTGCCTACTGCATTTTTATCAGTTTCTTCTTTGCACGGAATACTATGCTTGCAAGGTTGAAGATGTGAACTGTGACCTGTGGCTTGGAAATGATTTGTTCAGGATTACCCGATAAATACTCCATCTTTGTGGCTAAGCCTTTAAATCCTTTGAGTCACTTCCGTTATTCTTCCAGGAAGCACTTCGCCTTTATCCCCCTATTCCAGTCATTGCCAGGGACATTGATCAAGACGTGAAAACAGGTGAGCGAAAAAAACCTACAACGCAACGCTTCAGTTCAAAAACTCACACACAAAAAAGAAGTAATCAAGCTAAATGACACACGGAGCTCCTTTATTGCGCTAAGAAAATTCGAGGAGAAGCCGTAAGTCTTTCGCAATGTGCTAGCGCCTCTACGCTTTAATCGATTCCCATTTGCGTAGCCTTGTCAAATGCACATTTCAAAATGTTTTGTCATGTGTCTCATTAGCGATAATATCTGCCATTGAGGTTGGAATGTTAGGTTACTTTGAAGATTTGCAAAGAGTCAGGAAAGGTTTTGACCAATCAGCTGACTCCGGGAAACTAATGAAGATTAAATCTGACGGACGCTAACTACTTCCTGACTCATGCAGGTCACCATGAATGAACGTGCACGAGAGTATATATTTCATTTGTCATTGCATTTTGCATAACGCGATTAAACTTCCACTTGTCCAGCGCTGCTCATATTTTTCATAAGAGTTGCTAACCAACTATTCGTTTTATTTCCAGCTGGTTACTTGATTCCTAGGGGATCCGTTGCGGTTATTCCCTTGATCTTTCTTCAGAGACATCCGAGGTATTTCGATAGGCCTGAAGACTTTGTTCCTGAAAGGTTTATGGAGGCGCAAGAACGTCATCCTTTTGCCTATGTTCCTTTCTCTGCTGGCCCACGGAACTGTATAGGTCAGTAAAACAGTCTGAGCATGACATACATCAGAAATTGAAAGACTGTATAAATCATGCAAGACTTGTTTTGATGGATCTTGTTTTGTAAAGAAAACCAAGAAAACGTGATAATTTTTAAAAGATTCTAAGAACGCAGCAAAGCTGGCGAAGATCAGTCACATTGGGAAGCATATAGTGTTTGCTTCCATCTCTCGTGTCGCAATCTCGCCATGCTTATGTTCAGTGTCTTACGGCTATCAAGAACAAAATATACGATTTTATTTTTAAATAAAATTATTCCAAAAACATATTAATAAAACGCTACATTAACGCCTTTTGACGCGTGAGCGGATAATTTAGCTAAAGTATTTGCGTGCATTGAAGATGTGGTTACTGTGCATATGTTAGCAACCGCGGAAAAATTTGACAATTTGGAATTACCTAAAGATCGCAACCATTCATGTACGGTCAATATATTTGAAGAATTATAATTCCTAGCGCGTAGCCGACACTACGAGTCGATGAAGTCAACTAAGAAAACGCAAGGTCATGGAAATTGACGTCCTTCTGGGGGTGTGCTTTCATAGGCTAAATCAATAAAGTGCCGAGATTACGCGGTGCCCCTACGTTTTTAGTGTGTGCGTCTGGGATTATATGTCTTACAAACCTCAGGAGTGCTGTTATTATGAAACTTTGTTATCTCTTATTCTTAGAAGCATTCAAAATCTACAAAGATTTCGGTCTTGACGGAACTGACCGAAGTTGACAGAGTCGACCCTACCTAAATATGTAATATAATGAGTTTGTAAAGAACTGCCACGAGCTTATCTCACATTATGCTTCGGTGCTGGAATACATACATTTAGGTCTTTGACGTAATTAAGGTCGTACTCCCAAATTCTAAGAAAAATGTTTTTTTTTATTTTGCCTTTTTAGGATTCAAGTTTGCACAGCTTGAAGACAAAATCTTGCTGGCTCATATCATGCGAAGCTTCAAGGTGGTGTCTAAGATTCCCATGGAGGACGTCCAACTGTCGCTGGAGTTAACTTTAAGGCCAGCGAATGGTCTTGAGGTGACACTCATTCCCAGAGCCGCACAATGAAGTCACCCCAGAATGAAGCGAAGACCCATCACGTCAGACCCTGAGACATCCAAGAACGACTGGCTTTAGTTGTATGGTGCCAGAAACTGCATAAGCGTGTTGGTTTAAAACATATCAGATCGTGTTTCCTTTTGCAGACTGCCAGGATGTGTCTTATACTCCAGGATTTTTTTCTACAATGAGAAGTGAGTGACTGTAGCAATCAGCGCGGAATGCACACGTATCCAGACTGTTTCAACAAGAGGATGAGCGCACTCTGGGCATCAAAGTTCCTCCTCGCGTTGCCGTGTGTTGAGCATGGCACGACACGAAGCTTCATTCCAGGAATAACCACGATGATTGGCTGTAGATGAACAGATCAAATTGAATAAAATAGTGTATATTCTAGCTCATATATTCGAAGTTAGTATATTAAGGTAGACTGTAGATTCCTGAACAGTTCCCTACCCCGAAACCCAGTGTAACGTTTCGCTGTCTGGATTATGGAGCTGTAAATCTAACTCGATTTATTTCTGGAAACCTAAAATACATATTACAGAAAAATAAATGATTTCCGAAATCCTGAAATTCATATACAATCCAATAAGATTACCATATCCATAATCCAGATGGCAAAGACTTATATTGGGTTTGGGTGCAGGGTTGAGTATTCATTTTTAAGGCTAAACTTGGTGGAGTGAATACTCCCGGGACCCCCAACGTCCTTCGTACCCGGCAGAAAGTTCGCTTCGCGAACCATGAAGAGAGAGATGTAAAACCGCTTCGCGAACCATTAAGAGAGCTGAAGAGATTTAAAAAGAAAATTGAGTTAATTGTTAATTTTGAGGAATTTGTGCCTGATGAATCCAAACATCACATCCGCTAAACCCAAAATATTCACTAAACGTAAAAAAAAATCGAAGAAAACTGAACCGTTCACGTCGGCGGCACGCGCCATTAGTTAACTGTCTGTAACGCGCCACATGTTACGAAAAGTCCATCTTGATTCTTGGCTGGTCCGTCGCTTGCCGAAGTAGTCGGACGCCAAGGCTTTTAGCTCCGCTGATTCGGGTTCCGCCTCTAATTGTTTTAGATCTTCCGGTGTATCCTGAAGGAGTATATGTCCAGAGGACCCCCGATGGAACAAGTAGGCGTTCCAGCCGTTGGCAGAGCACAAAAATATCCCCGCCATTACACTGGGAGTCTGAAGTCGCGAGGAGCCCAATTGCGCGGGAGGGTAGCGACGCCGCCGACGCGGCATAGCCGACTTCGTACGTGCAAGAACGTTGACTGCCACGTATTGTAATGTAAAAAGTGCTGACAATAAACGGAGTGCTGTTGGCGGAACGCGACAGTGCGGATTAGCGTGGCACACCCGAACACGGTTTTCAGAGGAGAGAAATTAGGCCAACTTTGGCCTTCGTGCTTGGCAGCTGATGGACATGTGACCGTGCAGGTTGCATTGTTCTTCGAGGTTTGGGTAGTCAGAAGAGACGGCTTTGGGAGTAGGTGTACTGAAGAGCCCTTCCTCGGTGACAGGAAAGTTCCCCCTAAGATGAGTCTGAGTCACCACCCTGTCAGCTTGATGTCATTCTGTATCTATAAAGTTGTCCCTCCAGCAACGTCACGGCATTTGTTAGCTGCATTAAACCTCTGCCGTGCGTTATCGTCCGTCCGATCACGTATTGACCGCAGAGTGAACCGTTTCATGACACACAAGGTTATCCGAAAGCTAGAATGTTTGCAGAAAATTGCGGGACGTGAATAATTTTAAAGTTCTCAAACAACTTTGTACGACTCTGGATAAACGTGATAGGAAAACAGCGTAACTTGTAAAAATAAAAAAAAGTAAATTCACAACATAATGTAATACTCTTAATTTTGAAAAGGCGCTCTTGAGGCGAATGTGTACTATTTGGAAGAAAAATATTGTCATAAAAACTATGTTTACATTTAAAGAGAAGATCTCCCGAGCCCTCGAAAAGTAGGAATTGTATAAAAGGTCCATCTAAAACAAGTTGCGTTATGAAAGTTGCCTGTGAAAAACTTGGGAATAGCAGAGTTTAAAAAAAAAGAAATCATGGGTAGTGGAATTGGTCCCAGAAGTATGATCACTTCAGCACTGTGAAACGTCATGCTTAGTTTCATAGCGCTGACTATTATTTTTTTTCTTAACATTGCCGAACGACCTCCGTATATTTTGGCCATTGGATCACCCAAATGCTTTGCGGGAGTGGAGACGCTCCAGATTTCCTTGAGTGCCGAGTCGTGGCTGGCTGAACTCTCTGCAAGGAATATACAACTGGTACGCGACGAATTTCACCCGGCGGCGTCCACTGTGCGGCTGTGTTCAAAACGGTAGAGCTAATATAAAAAAATAGAAAAAACTCCAGAATATACTTTTTTTTTTGTGAATAGTATTATTAGCCGCGACGTGCGCTAAGCCTATGAAGAGCTACCTTCACTGAAGTCGACTTGGTCTGACTTTTCTCGTGAACAATTTGTCGTGAACATACGGGGCCCAGAAGTCTGATTGAATCGTGGGTGAGGGCACCTCTTTACGCTATAATTACGCAAAATAATGAACTAAACGAACTACTTATCATAGAACACGTCCAACACACACAAAAAGCGGATTTATACTACACCATTGCTAGTTTTTAGAAGAAACAAAAATCAGCTTCGCAATAATCACTTGAGTGTTCAGGTCTGTTCGATTCACCCACAAAGCCCAGAGCTAGCTCAGGACGAGTTCACTTGGGTTCAGGAGTCTCTCAGTGACGGTCTAAAGCCAGTGCAGCCACCGCTTTAAAACTGGTGCTTTCATCGACTTCCGGAAAGGCAACGCAGGTTGTCATCTCTTCCTGTTAGCTCTTGTGTGTCTCCACCGCACGCCGTATGCTACGTTATTTGTGGTGTGATGGGATAATATGTCATAATTTTTCTTTTAAGTATCTAAAGATTATATTTTCTTTGAATTTTAGAGCGCAGCTCTTAGGCGCCCTTTTCTGGCTTGCGCGGCGTCGGCGTCAGCGTCGCCGTCGCCGTCGGCGTAACCGCGCGGTGCATTATGGGTGAATTTCCCCGCCAAATCTAGCGGAAAATTTACCCGCTTAATTTAGCGGGAAAATTTCTTCGCTGAATCTAGCGGGAAAATTTCCCCGCTAAACCTAGCAGAAAAATTTCCCCGCTAAATTTAGCGGTGAAATTTCCCGGCTAAATCTAGCGGAAACTTTCCCGCCAAATCTAGCGGAAAAAGTTTCCCGCTAAATCTAGCGGAAAAAATTCCCGGCAAATTTTAGCGGAAAAATTTCACCACTAAATCTAGCGGAAAAGTTTTCCCGCTAAATTTAGCGGAAAATTTTCCCCGCTAAACTTAGCGGAAAAATTTTCCCGCTAAATCTAGCGGAAAATTTTCCCACTAAATCTAGCGGAAATATTTCCCCGCTAAATCTAGCGGAAAAATTTCCCCGCTAAATCTAGCGGAAAAATTTTCCCGCTGAATCTAGCGGAAGAATTTCCCCGCTGAATCTAGCGGGAGATTTTCCCCGCTAAATCTAGCGGAAAATTTTCCCTGCTAAATCTAGCGGAACATTTTTTTATTCGAACGGACAAAAAAAACGTTTTCAAAACAAAATTTGATAGTCTGCATTTTTAAGGTTATCGCCCGCCTTCTTTCGTTTCCTCGCGCACTCGTTTACTTTGACGTCATTCGCCGCGATGCGCATTTACATTCATTGAAAAACAGTGGATTAATACAAGAATCCCCCGAGCTTCGCATTTCGACGATGGTGTCCCGGCACCGCGATGAATTCGCGTCAGGATAGACCGTTGGCGGTGCAAGGTAGCGGTCTTCGGGGCGAAGGCATGACGAGAGCGTCGGCCTGGCCAAAACGGTTACTAACTGCCAATTTGACATTAGGTTCAAACGTTTCTTCCGACTCTTAAGAAAAATAAGCGTGGAACTGTCAGACCAATATCCCTTCTCAGCGTTTTTGTCCCAGGCTCCGTTAGTGAGCGGTCTCAAATACCAGCGGACAAGGCGTGCCGTATATTCTGCTCAGATTCTTCGGCACGCGAGTGTCAGCTTATGCACTTCATAATGTCACCACTTATTCACTCTACTGTGCGGTCGCACACGTTTGTAGGCCGCCTAGGCAAAAATGTAGATCCGTACCCGCGGATATCTGCATCCGAACCGCATCCGCACTCCCTGGCATCCTCATCCTATCCACAATCCTTCAAATCTGATTCATTTTTTATCCGCATCCGCCAGTTTACTGCGGATATCCGCGATAATTCGCGGATATGCAGGGCTCAGTGATAAGCAAAAGGTACTATGCCCTTCCCGAAATTTGCCTTATTTACACCAATGTATCTGGCATATAGGGCAGTGCACGATTCAAATAGGGATGTATACGCTTTATATAAGCAACAACAACAAAATTAGCACGAGCATAAAAACAAGTGCGGATCTACGCGACGTAAAGCGAACCCGGCGATGGCGCAGCCAGCGACGAGACACGGCCAAATCTGCTGGATCCTTCCTGGCGGCCAAAGGGGTGGAGCGCTAGGGAAGGTCACGTGTCATACACCGGCCTACCGCTGAGCTCGTTGACGTGATGAAAGGTTGTCGCTACTTTTCCAATATAGAGGGACTTTATCGTCGCCACCTCGCGGACAACCTCCTTCGACGGAGCTGCTAGGCTGCGAGCAGACGACGCGCTATGTCAAGGCACGGAGTGGCTATGTCAGTTCGCCTTTATGCCGACTAGAAACGGCTTATTCATTAAAGATACGTAAATCACGTTTTTGTGAGCGACCTTTTTTAATGAATAAAATCGACTCAAAGTTACTGTTTACATTGAAACTTTAAAAATTAAAAAAAAAAACATGCCCGCGGCTTCAGATTACTGCTTGTGCTTCGTGCGTCAGGGCTTCACAGCCTCTCTGATTTTCTTTCAATGCGAAAGCATTAACTCTCATGGAGCGAAGTCGGCGCTATCTGATGTCTGCAGCAG